AACTATAGGCTACAGATCGCAGTGTAAAAATGAAGACAATGCATATAAAGGGAAACTTTGCTGATATTATACCAGCTGTGTGGCATCGCAGTGTGTGCAGATGAACGGTGTTTGGCTTCATCCCCGTGCAGCTGTCAGCACCCGAACCTCCACCGCTGAGCAAGGATCTCCAGGGGAAGTCAAACAACGTTAATCTGCACACACTGTGATGACACACAGCTGGTTGAATATCAGCAAAGTTTCCCTGCTTCCCTTCACTGGTTCCTGTACAGCAGGGTTGGCCTTTTTTTCACTGTTATAATCATTAAAAAGCAAAAGCAGCATACAGTATGTATACATTCAGTAGGCTATATCTTCAGTAGCTAGCTAGCTAACCCTACACTTTTCAGGGTCTGATTTTGGTTTTGGAACAGGGAAGACATGTATATCTTTTTCCAACCTCTCCAGGTAACGAGTATCATTAATACATGACATTAATTTAGCTCCAAATCCACAAAACCAGCCTGAAAATGTAGGAAATCTGAATCGATTGCATTCGAGTCAATAGAGCACAGCTGTACTTTTGTCGGACCCTGGTCTGAGCCGGCCAAATGCTATGTTAAGACTGGCAAGTCTGCATCCGTGGGTGAGATTTAGTAAAGGGTATATTAAGACTATTTTGTCACAGTACAGTTGTGAGGTGTAATTACCAGAGCTGAGCTGAGCTAGTGGTGTCCCAAATGCAAGTTAATTGCACTGCCTCAGGTCTGGACTCCCAAGTTGAACTTGAAGTTCTAACTCCCAGGTACGCAAGTCCAAACTTGAATTACTCTGTACTGAGAGGGGCCTGTGGTTTGTGTGCATATTTGTGCACACAGGTGCAACATCTCAAAGAAATTGTGTTCAATTTTAATCTGTTAAGCAAAATTGTCTTCTTTGTCGCAAGAGCACATCTTGTTTTATTCTTCCCTTTTTTTAGATGATAGACTAGCAGCATTTATAACTGAACAAAAGACAGCAGCTTGTGATGTGGATGCTCATTGAACAGTATCATGTCAATAACATATGGTTCATCTGTTAAAAAGTGCTACAACAGCACACATAACTGTGTGACACCGAAAGTTACTCCTCACTTTTATCACTGACTGATCTTCGCCTTTGTTGTCAATATGAATTATATGTATGAAGCTATTAATATAAAAAATACTGGGTAACACTGCATCTATGAGTCTTTTTCAAATCCCCTGCAATTACTGTAAAAGTTGTGACAGTAAATGTAAAATACACTACAAACAAATTTAAGCCTTATTCAAAATATAGCAGCAATTACAGGATCCAAACAAAAACATGTCAAGCAGAATACATTGCAGAGCGGTACAATGCGTTTTGGTAATGATTGGGAAAAAATAAGGCAAGAAAAACTAAAAACAAATGGACTACTTGGGTCAATACTTGTCATGTTGAAGTGGTTTTATTACCTTCATTTTAAAGCTTAGTTTAACACCAAATACTTCCCCTTGCTGCATTATTATGCTGCTCCAGTGAAGGGAAAATATGAGTAAAGTTGCATACAAGTTGTTAGGACAAGTTTCTGTAGGGCTCCACTGACCTTTAGTAGAGTCCACTATATGGGCCCAAGCCTACTTCATCTATGAGGGGCTTTTTTCCAATTCTCTGACTGCTCCTTTTTTCCCTCCACGGCAACCTTTTCTTGACCTTTATAGGTGGAGAAGTCATCAACCTCTCCTTCTCTCTCATTTAGTCCCCTCCTCCATCTGTCTCTATTACTCAGTGTCTCTACCATCTTTGTTGCCTGCTCTTTTACAGCTGTTGCAGTCTTTTTTTTTACCACCTTCCCACCTCCCTCCCTCTCCATTAGTCACCTGCTCTGTCCCCTCTGTTTAGCTGTGTGTTAGCATCTATATGTTAAGCCTCTTATCTCTCAAATCTCTCTATTCATTTCTCAGTCCTTCTTGCTTGTATAGCCATTTCATACAAGGCAAATTAAATACCTTCTCAATGTAATCTGGCATCATATTGAAGTTTTTGCTTTTGTGTGGCTGTTACAGACGGTTACAACTCTTCATTCATGTTCACGTGGCGAGGCCTGCCATTAATTTTCTGTTTTATTTTGTTGTGGCTAACAGTAGAGGAAGTGTTTTTCTGTTTTGGAAAAGACAGAAAAAATATGGTTTTGGTTTTGAAAAAAAAACTTAAAAGGAAAGCAATAGAAACATATTCCACAAGACTGATAACCAAGGACAACAAAACCAATTCAATTTATCTTAATTCAGCTGAGCATCTGTCATTACCACCATGGGCTGTTTTTAATGAAAAATGTACACATAGTTTAAGTAAAAGAAATGTTTTAATGCTGTCTGAGGAGTCACATCATGACCAAGAAAATTATACAAATCTAATATCAGCACATGCCAAATCAAATACTGTACATAATCCAGTATTCAATCTGATTTGAATCTCCTGTCTTGCATTGGGTTTAAGAGTCAGACATGACTGACTGATTGTGATGTCTTCCCAATCAACATTCTTCAAACTCATTGGTTTCTAACCTACACAAGTTACTTTCATTTATGGTCAACTATACCTAAACAATTTACATCACACAGTTGGTTTGATTTAAAATCTGTTTTTACATGGTTTAATTTAAGTGTACATATTCTAGCACTGTAGGGTTACACAGGCAAATTGTTTGATATCAATCATCTGTTTCTTTGTCTTTGAGTTTCCGTGGCTGTTTGTGGAGGTCCCTACCTGGTGGAGCGAAAGGCGTGGCTGAGGGCTGAGGACTCTTTAATCCTGGAGCCAACTCATTGGGCCGAACCATGTGCTGCCATGTCATGGGTGGGATTTGGGTTTAGTTTTGCTTTGCTTATTTGGTTTGGCCAAGCCACTAGATATGCTCCCTCGTGTCATTTTGACAGGTCAGTTTGTTCAGTTAACACCTTGTTTAGTTATTATATTGAGTATAGTTATATTTTGTTGACCCCTTTTATAGGCCTAGTTGTTCATTTCTTGGTTCGTAATTTTTAATGCATTTTTTGGGAAAATAAAATCCCACAATTTTGTCAAGAACTTCTGTGTCCCTGTTGCCTCACTGCTTGGTCCATGGACTGCTTCATACCAAGAGCCCTGCTGCTAGTGGGGCTTATATTCCATGTGATAAAGAGCAACACTAGGAGCAGTAAAAATATCTGTAGGGTTGCAGTGATATACCAGTCTCAAGGTATACCGTGATATAAAAGTTGATGGTTAGTATACCATGCACATTTGCTTATCTACGACACTGAAAAAATCCAACTGGATAAAGAGTCTCCCCTTTATTTTAGTTATTTTCAAAGGAGTGACTTTTTACACAAACTTCCATTAACAAAATTGTTTCAAGTTTCAGTTATAGTAATAAAGCGTTTGTTCAACCAAAAATAACCCTTCTATTTTCATTCCTTAAAGGGTCTGTCTGACTGATAATCAGTGTCAGGGTAATATGTTACAGAAATATAACTTTTTAGCAGTGACAAAGTAATATAACATGTTACCAACAGGATTTGGGGTAATATTATTACATTTACAATGTCATATAATGCGTTACCACCCAAAATAAACTGTTTAATTTTTCATTCATTCACATCCACACCGCTCCACTCCCACTAGAGCACCACCAGGAAAAATATCCCCTGAAGGCTGTTGCCTTTTGACATGTCATCCATTCATTCATCATGCTACATTATAGAATAATGCCAGTGATTGTGGGTGTTTTCATGTCCAGGGTGTTTCCATTCATATACCTACAACTTATCCTGTTCTGCTTTTGCATCCCGAGGCTGCCTGAAAGCAGTGGGAATAAGAAGCTGGCTTCCGATTTGTTTTTACCTGTCCCCATGATATCACATAGTTACCTTCATTTATTACTTTTGAATTACTTTTGAGAGTAATTTGCCCAACACTGCTGATAATAATATAAATTCTGTAATACTGTGATACCATGAAACTGCGATATATTCTGAGACTGTTATCGCACTGTGAAAACCTCATACCAATGAAATCCTACTGTACGGTAAGCAAAAACTTGATTCAGGAGTATGAGTCTCTCCCTTTTAGGGTTGTGGCGGTTTAATGATTTCATAGTATACCATAGTATGAACACTGACAGTTATACTGTGTACATACTCTATCTACAGCATTAAAAAGCAATCAGATGGAGAATCCCACCTGCAAGTGGACATCTCCTTTCCTCTTTGACTGTCTGACATTTTACACATACTTCCATTAAATGGTTTTATGTTTCACTTATAAGTAAGCATTTCTAATATGGTCATCTCACCATACCTTGAAAAGCTCATACCACTGCAATCCGATCCCCTCCTGTGTTTTTTGTCACAGTTGCTGCAGCTCATCCTGCACAAACTTACTCACTCTCTCTCCTCTTTTACTCCCTTCTGCCTGCTGCCTTTCACTGCCTTACTTCCATTCTCACCCTCCCACCCACCCTCAATCTGCCCCTCTCTCTTCTCCTCATAACTTCTCCCTCCTCCATCTCCTCTTTTTCTAGTACACTAACCTTTAACATGGATACTCACCCTCTCTCCTCCTTTTCTTTACTCATGCTCTCTTTCAACTGTTGCAGCTTCTCCTCCATCTCTTTGCTCTCCTGGGCCAGAGTCAGCGTCTGCATGTGCTGTTCTCGCAGGTTCCTACGGCAACATACACACGCGTTCACGTATGTGCAATCAATCAACAACGATCAATCATACAAATGACCTACTCCATCAGATTGGATGGCCAGGCTTTCATCAGTACCTTCAATTCATCTACTGAACTGGCAGACCCCTGTTGCCATGACTTGATCAATACTTTAATCAATTAGTCACTGGATCAGGGCACCACTAAGCCAGACATCAATTTAGTCAATTACCTGCTGGCGAATGAGAAACTATGTACAGTAAGGAAATGGACTCAATTTTGCATTGGACAATATGAAGAAAACAAATACACTGCACTGAAAACCATCAGAATCCAGGTCACAAGGTTTATCTCGCCCGAAAGTGCATTTTGTGAAATACTCACTCTGTGGGCAGAATCTGAATGGACACAGATGGAAATAGTATGGCAGCCAAGTAACTATAATGGGCTTCTACCTGTCTTAAATCACATCATTGATCTTATCTCATCTTACCTGGCATTGAGCCTGACGGATTTGGCCTTGTTGTTAGGAAGCACCACAAAGTCATTTAAATTCATGTCTCTTCTTTCTGAGGGCTCAGGTATTCCTCCTGCGTCTTGTGTTGTGCTTTTCACAAAGAGCTGCTTCTGCAATAAACAGTAACAACAACGGTAATTGCATAAAACTGGCTATCACGCCGCGCCCGGGCTAAATCAAGCACTGCCATAAATGAACAAAATAGCAGGGACAGATTTGCCCAAATGTATATGAGGCCGTTAAATCAAGAAATCTTGTTTGTTTAAATTGTATCTGGCAGAGTTATGCGCTTGACAAACTCTTTTAGGCAGTAAGAGCCAATTAAGGAAATCAGCCAGTTAGGCAGATATCATATATTGTTATACAGTAACAGCAAGACAGCTACACCTGATAGCAAGTGAACTGATTGTAAAGTGACATTAGGTGGAGGTGATTAGCTCCTGTAAGTTTCTGTAAGGCCCCATATGAAACCTTCGCCCACCAGACTGTAAAGCAGCACAGTAAAGCTCACTGAAATTATAACTTTAACGATCTCAGCTTGCATGATAGCTACCTATCTCAGACAGGGTGTTTTTACTTTTCACAGCAGTGGAAGCACAGTTGTAACCAATAACATTAACGATGGCACAGTTATATTTGAGTGTCCCTTGAAGTTACATCAGTAATATACAATATAAGGGCAAAACTCAAGGATGCAGCCTTGATTGATATTATTAATTACACCTGTGCGTTTTCCGACCATGATGTGAAATCGACTGCCAGTGAAAAAGGGTCTGTTGCAGGCATTCGGGTGACAGACACACTGTGGCACACTGAGGCTTTTAGTTCTTCTTGACAACAGCAGCTTTCACAGCTGCAGCTTCGACACGGTGACTTGAGGTGAGGGAACAAACCCCCTTGGCAAACACAGTGTACATCCTTAGTTTTTTTGGCAACAATGGCTGAGAGTACATCATTGTGTTCCTAGTTCACTCCTGTAGCTCAGTTGTCTTGGTCCAAACCAAAATAATAACCTGTAACTTGTTTAATTTTTGTGTTAGAGCTCTCAAATTTTGGCCTAAACTCCCCTAATTTATCTACTACATATAGCAACTTGTTCAAAGTCTCCAACTATACCACAGAAGTCACTAATTGATGTCAAATACAGGAGTTTCACTGTTATAACCTGCCCCACTGCAGGGGGAAGTTGTAGCACAGTCGGAGGCCTGTACCACAAACTCAGTTCAACTTACCCAGGATATCTTTTCATTATCTGGCTAAATAAAATGTCAGTGTCGTGGGATGAAAATTATGCTCTTTTCTTATGATGTTAATGCAGAAATATTGAAAGTACTATCCAAAATGTCACCGTCAGTCGAGACTTAAATTACGTGTGGGTATCACAAGGCGATATCTGACATTAGTAGAGTATTTTTTGCTATTTAGTTGGATGATGATGATGAATATGTCACATAAAACACATAAAGTAAGGCCAGACTGTTTCTGCTACTGAAGTAAAGAGTGGAAAAGTAGCCTAGTTAATGACTGACGAGATCTGTTTGACCCAAATGTTGTATTTATAAAAATGGGAGCCAATTAAAAGTGTGTGGATTACTTTTCTAATAAAATATTATCTTTTTCCCCAGTCCTCACGACACAGGTGTCTCGTTATTTTGAGCTGCAGTTATGGGATCAGAGTGTAAATTAGCAACACTTTCACTGTGGACTAAAATAAACTTTGCATTAGGGATAGACCAATATGGATTTTTTAGGGCCGATGCCGATACTGATTTTTTTCCATCACCCTTAGCCGATGACCGATTATGGACTGCCGATTTTCTTGAGCCGATATTTGGGGCTGATACTGCTTTTGCTCCCTCAATTTACATCAAAAAAATGACAGAATGATAACAAATATTACAGGTCTGAAGTTTAAATTAAGAAACATTTATTGAACAGTAAAAAATACTAAAACAAGATGGAAAGTTGAGGTAGAACAGGTAGAATATTATTATTATTATTATTATTATTATTATTATTATTATTATTATACATTCAAATAAAAAAAGAGTTCAGTGCTCTTAAATCTTCCAGTAATGTCTTTATAAAATAAACAAATATTTAAGCTGAAGCATAAATAAAACAACAACTACTGTACATAGTAGGATTCGCTGCATGTGCACTGCAGGGTCTTCCGGCAACACAGAGCTGCCCGTGGATGCCTGTCTGTAAATCATGCCAGGGAAAAATAAATCCGCGAACCCACGCACGTATCGGCCGATGCCGATACAAGTAAAAAACTCAAATATTGGCCCGATATATCGGCCGGCCGATGTATCGGTCTATCCTTACTTTGCATAAATTAAAATCCTGCTAAAATCATGTGTTAAGTGTTGTAAACGATGGCTCTGTTTGTTAGAAGCTCTGTTTTAAAACCAGTGGAAATAGAGCCCCAAAGAGACTATTCTTTTTTACCTGAAACTCTTTTAGACTTGGACTTTTGCCCATGGATGCTGGATCTGAGGTCTGGGTGTTGACAGGTTAACCTGCTACATAGCAGGTTAGCTATTCAGCTTGAGTTACCACGGTGATTTATCCCGGTAAAAAGAGAACCAGCTCCGTATTACTGAAAACCTTGAGTCAACCCTGAAGTTACCTCGCTAACTCCAAATCCTGCTTCACAGTACAGGCCTCTGGGGTAAGTAGTTACAATAACAGTGAATTAAAAATGACACAATGCCTCATGTAACATCCTCTTGCTATGTATGTAAGACCTTTTGACTGCTGTGATAGCCCACACAGGGCAGCTGTGTTGATCCTCTTTCTCTGATGTTTCGTATTTACTTATTTCTGTTTCTTTTTAGTATCTTCTGAATGTCACATGACAGATTGAGTGATCTTTGGGAACAGACTTTTCTGTTTTCCCTGCCTCAAGCACACCCCTATGAGGTTTTCTTACCAACTCTTCTGGCATGCTGAGAAAAAGAATAAGATATATAAATAAAATGTGTTTAATTGTCATTTGGGTTAGGTGTAACACTTTAAAAAAAGGTGTTAAAACCATCCTGCCTGTGTCAGCCACTATTTAATGAGCTGTAGCAACATGATTGAAATAATTAGATGAAATATCTTACATGTGGCCCAGGAGACCACTCTCTAATCTACTACAAGTTACATAATTCTAATTTCAACAGTATCAGTACTTATCAAAATATAAAGTCGGTCTCTCCTACAGCACATCACATAACGTTACTGCTGAGAATAACGTTAATTTAACTTACGTTTTCGGTGTGTCCTTGTTTACCAGCTCATGTTAGCACAGTCATTCTTTCACTTTTCAATGTAGCAGGCTTTACTGTTATGAAATTAAAACTTTTATGACACTAATACCCGATTTGTATGTTAATATTTCAGGTTTTCGCCGGCTTCATGCTCCAGTCTCTGTGCTCAGGGCGGTTGTGTTGATCTGTCGTTACCGTGGCAACCAACTCTCGCGATAGCCCGCTGCTGGAGGTATACCGGAAGTCGTTTTGTTTCACTTACTGCTAATTTGTCGTGATGAACTTCTTCTGCCTGAATGTGTTGATTAAACTTTAACGCTTTAGGAGAATTATGACAGTATGCCTTTGTTTGTTCAGGGAATAAACATTGGATTCAAAGACATCAAGTCCCCTATTGCCTCAGTAATCACGGGCAGCGGGAATTCCCTTCTAATTAAAATCCTCCCAGCATCAAGATAAATGTTATAGCTCTGATTACAGCTTTTGAACCCTCGTTGTGTTTTTTTTTTTTCAACAGACTTTCATGATGACAAGCATTAGAGATCAGAGGCAAAATCATTTCCCATCCGCCCCATAAAATAAATGTACTAGAATTAATTTGATAGGACCAAAGTAATAAGGTTGTTTATGCTGGTTTGTCAACAAGAAAGCTTAGCCTTCATGTATCTGTTTATTACATAAACATGTAGGCCTAGTGTAAACAAATGCAGAAAAATCCTAAATCTTCAACAGTCAAAAAAGACTTGACCAGATAGTTAACTATTTACCCTGCCTGGGTCAATACTATACATAGCCTATATTAAGGCTATTATTGTTATTATTATTATACCATATGAATTTCCCCCAAATATATTCAAATCATTATAAAGGCAACTAACATAGTTTCTTAAAAGTCCACCTCCCCAGGACAACTTTGGGAACCACATGGAACAAAATTTTGGTTTCTGGTGGAAGTGGTTTAGAAAATATTTTTTAGTGCAGGAGTGTGAAACATATGACCCGGGTGCCAGATTTGGCTCGTCAAAGGGTCCATTCTGGCCCACTAGATGACTTTGTACACCTCATACTGATGCACTTTCGATGGCTAAGAGGAGCCAGGTAGATACTTTGTGTAAAATTCTGCCTCAGAGGCTTTTCCACTCTGACTGGAATACAGTTCTCTGATATAACAATGAATACTTACTGTGGTCATATTTAAAGATATTGAACATTGTGCAAAATATTGTCAACCAGTCAAAACTTTATTTGTATAGCACCATATACAAGAAATACAGCACATAGTGCTTTACAATAAGGGCAGTATAAGCACTGAGTGCTTCACATGAAAAAAGACAGAATGGACGTAAAACAAAACTGATTCATGAAATTATAGAGTTGTAAAACTATGAATCATAAAATCAAGTAAGATTTTAAAAGAGTTGCAGCAGCTTGAAGCGTGAATAGAAATACTTTCAGACCTGTATCAGCAGTGATGGTTCTAGCCTAAATGGCGCCCTGGCACCCCCCACCAGAGGACCACCCCATCACCCCCACTGTCAATGCACAAGAAAATACACATAATTCTGCACAAGGTACATCCATGCCACAGGTACATACAGAAATATAAAAAAAAAAAAAATTAAACAAGAAAGAAGGTTTGTAAATGGATGAATGTTTTCAGAAAGTACTTGCACAGGGAGAAATGTGAGAGGTTTGTTATTTATAGGTTATTATGCAATGGTTTTACTGGTTCGGCCCACTTGAGATCAATTCAGCTGAATGTGGCACATGAACTAAAATGAGTTAGACACCCCAGGTCTGGTGAATAATGATCCCTCTCTAATAATTAGAATATGATAAGTCCATTATTTATCATTATCATATTTCTCTGTGGTGTTCTTGCAGACACACCAGTGGGCCAGACAGAGGTAACTCAAAGGCTTTGTTTGTGCATACATGCTCTGTCCGCACTATAATAGTGCAGCCAGCCAGTCATCCATCCAGCCCTCATCTGTATTCCAGGACAATAGAAACTTTCTGACGCCATTGCAAAAGCAGTCCTCTACTGCAGACTATGCCCCTTCCACTGCTACTTTTATTCTATGTCTCTATCTGTCCTCGCCATCCTCCCTATCAAACCACAGGGCAATTACAGCTTGGCAAGCAGCGAGCACACCTCCACCTCATTCCTAAATCCTGCTCTCTCACTCTCTCCCTCCATCTCCCCCTTTTGTCTGTCCCTCTCCCTCTCTCTCGTCTTCCTACATTGTTGGCGTATGACCTATTGCTCCTGCCATCAGGGAAGCGTGAGTGTATGACTTATTGAGCGCGCCTCTGTGTGTGTGCGAGCGTGGATGGTCATTTAGGGTCGTGACCCTCCAGCTGGATTCTGTCTCTGCTGCTAAACGGTGACTCTCTACCTCTCTTTCTCTCTGCCCCTCTCTCAGCTCTGCCCGCATAGACAGCTGGGCGTGCAGCGGCATACCGATGAGCGGACGAGCGAGAAGAAGAGCAAGAAGGAGCAGGAGAAGGAGCGAGGGATATAGAACTGAAGGGGGGTAGGCAGGGGAGGCGGGGGGGCATAGCAAGGGGCCAGAAGGCTCATGGAACAGCAATGCAAGAGAAAGAACAAGAACAAGAGAGCGACAGAATGCATGAAAGGAGGGGTACAACAGCAGAGCAGTTGCAGGAAAAGGACAAGCGTTGTGCTGTGAAATGTCAGGGCTATTTAATTCATTAGGAGGCAATGATTATGGCGCTGTACTGAATGTCATCTGCTGGGTTAAACCTTCCTCGGTGTCCTCATGCTGGATATATATTGACTGTTTGGCAATGGTTGGAAACCTTTTAGCAATGACAGAGTGGCAGCACCAGGGACAGGGAGAAAGGAAGGGGAGAGAAAATAGTCAGCCAGCCAGCCAGAATCAACAGCATTTTTGTCACTCATGGTATGCACAGGGGGTTGTAGATAATCCTGGGAGTATATTGACGAAATAATGGAGAAATTGTTAAATAACCTTGAAAAGAGGTGGTTGGGAGCTTTTACACGTTCATCCTCTATACCTACTTATTCCCACTCAGAGTCACAGGGGGATGGAGACTATCCCTGCATGCACAATCGGCAAGGAAGCAGGTCACCTGTCCATCATAGGATTAACGGGCACTTTCAATCTTCTTCTCCACCTGATCTGCATGTCTTTTGGGGGGGAAACCAGAGCGAGCAACAGAAAGACAGGGAGAACATTCAGAGATAAACAGCTGATCCACGATCTTCTTGCTTTGACCACCAGGCAACCGCATTAACCACTGAGCCCATGTGCTGCCCCCTCGCTGAAAACAAATGGTGGGGAAATCATTTAGCCTCTCACTAATTGGATCCTGCCCTGAAATTATCGCACCAAATCAAACTAAAGTGCTCGGTATCAAAAGGAATGTGTGATGTAGTAATTGCAGTCAACTCAACTAACCTGCAGTGAAGTGCGGCAGAATGAGGAATGGGCGATGCTGTCAAGTCAAATCATTGGAGAAAACGGCACAGAAGGAAGAAAGACACAGAATGTGATCAAAAACAGAAAGTAGTACTATTCTGGGTTTATGCTTTGAGACAGCTAAATGGCCAACTACTTCATGAGCAGCCAAGAATAAGAACTTTCTGAAGAGACACAGCTCAAATGTTGCAGTGCTGCCTATGAAACTAATATCTGTCAACCATAAAGTGGTGCAGGTGAGCAAGTGATGTAGAATTAAAGAAAAAAGCAAATAAAACAAATGAATGCTGTGCATGTCTTTCAGTATAGTCCCTGATGGAGCTGAACAGGGACTAGAAAGTGGTACTGTCGCAGCTTAAAGTGACATCCTAAGAGACTTACCAATTGACAGTAACACACACCCCAACATGCACCTCTTTAAGCCGTAATAAAATCCTAATAAAGCAATTATATCCCTGAGATTTCCTCCTCCACTCCAATACAGTAGTCCTTTTTCACAGCAGACATTTTGAGGTCTCACAGCAGAAAAGAACAGGTATAATTAATAATATTAATGATGACTGAATTCCATTAAGATGTGTCACTTCCAGGGTCCAAATACTGCACATAGTTGCTTGCTTATTGTGATACTTAAATGGACCCGAGCCATCACAAAGGCTGATTTATACAGTAGTTGTGCATAGGCGTAAGAGTAACCTCCACCGGCGCTTTTTCTGCTATGACAAGTCAAAGTACCTGCTGGGAAAGTGGCCTATGGAGGTGAATAGATTTTATTCGTGGGGCTCACGGCATTGAGGAATTACATTTTTAAAATGTAACACCAGAAACAAGGTCCCACATATTCTGGATAATCCACAGATCTCACTGAGCAGTTTTCATTGCGACTACTTTCTTCAGAAGACACAGTACCTGAGAAAACTGTCCCGTCCAGAGCAACAATGGTTCTGGGAAAAGATGGGGCTGATGAATTGCCTCGGGGACAATACAGATATCTCAAAACCTGCTCATTTATTCTGGTTAATTACACTTCAGGTTGAAGTTGGGTGAAGCTTTGTTGGAAATTAAGTGAGGGCACCAAAGTCAACATACCAAAAAGAATGATAAGGGTGTTGTCCCAGCTTCAGGGGTGGAGCAGGCACGTGAGGGAGATGTGAATGAAGTATGGTCTGTACAAGCTCACGCAGCCCTGAGAAGAGGTCTAATCAGCCCGTTTAAGTGAAACACCTGTGTGGGTAAACACTGCATAAGCAAAGCCTTCACCAATAGGCAACAGAAGACGTTTTTACTTGCTATTATTCAGGTTTCCATTCAAATGTAGTCCAAACAAATTTCCAGACAACATGCAAAAGAAAATAAATGTGCTTTGCGTTAATATCAGGAAAACAAAGATAAACAGTTGATGGTGCTATTTTTCCAGTCCAGTGCCAATAAGCCAATGAAAGAGAGGAGAGCACAGAAAGATAGCGTAGAGCAGAAGATGGAAAACTATGCCGAATGATGTCAATATGTTATTTATGTTTGTGTCATGTAATAGTCTGAGACAGGGGTGTTAATATAGACAGTGCAGACAGCGCGATTGCACTGGGGCCCCTGGGTTGAAGGGGCCCGTAGAGAGAGCAGGCCCTTGCAAGAAATTCAGATTGCTGGAAATATACCTGTGTTCAAAGACTAATGATAAAGAAAAGAATGCTATTAATTTAAAAACAATGCTATTTGCT